TTGGAGCCACGAAAGATCGATTTGTTTTCCTTCCTCTTATTGTTTCGTCCTTTTTCGTAATTTTTATGATAGATATAAACACGAAAAGGAGGAGGAAAATATATACTCGAGAACTCGAGTGGATAACGACAGAGAAGTAAAGTCTCAGTAAAGTCTCGCCTGCGGAAAATGGAAATATCTAACGATGCTCCGCTTGCAAATTAATGCACACGTTACACGAATGTGTGTGAACACGCGCGAGCGCGAGATTCAGCAGACGAAGCAGTCGGCCGTAATCGCCGCTGCGCGCGTGCATCGCGGTGCTTTTCGTTCCTCGTCTTTTCAAGCAAGCTTGCTAGTCGCCGTTTGATCGTCTCTTGCGCGCAAGATAGAAGATATTGTGCGCGGTCCTTTAGACAGTTCCTCCTCTTCTCCGCGCGAGGCAGCACAACAGTCATAGTGCTCCTCCTCCTCTTATTGACGGCTCTTCGAGAGCTTCGGACTCTCGATGCATCCGCGTTTTTGGCATGCCTTTACGCTCGGCGCCCGCCTTCTCCCCGCGTCGGGGGGGCTCTTTTCGCTCTCGGCGTGTATGACGCCGCCCTGTACAAGCGGACCGTGTGCTCATATAAGGCACACGTGTATCTACTCGACGATGCGAGAGAGTAAGTTTCTTGGAACGCGTGATTCAGCTGTCGGGGACATTAAGAGAGCGAGAAGCTCGTCGACTCATGAGTCCGCTCATACGCCCCATTCGGCGTTTAATGAATTAACAAGGGCTCGTCGGCATTATAGGCGTGTCTCGACGCCTAAGAGATCAATTAAAGTCACGTAGCGGGTCAATGGGCGGCAAAGGATGCATTCTCCTCGGTTCGAATTTAGTTCAAATTGAATTCGAGACGAGACGAGACGAGACGAGACGAGACGAGACGGGACGGGACGGGACGGGACGGGACGGCGGATGCGCTCGAATCGAGAATTTAGAAAAGGAGACGAGCGAGGATTGAAGTCAGATTCGGGTCCGAGCTCTCGACGTCAATCAGTTTTGCGCGCGCGCGTTTGTCTAGTCGCTAGTCGTGACTCTCCTCCAAGAGATTGCGTTTTCTTCTCTTTTTCGTGTCTCTCGATCGAGTTCCTCACACTGGATGTTGCTTCTCGTTTTCGATGCTTCGACTTTTGCTGCGAATCGCTCGGGCGGGCGTTGCTGAAGCAACTGGAGCTTTCTTCCTCTTGGAGCTTTCTATGCAACATAATGACGAGTGTACGCGTAGAATGACCTCATCTCAACCGCGTGGCGCGTGGCGCGTTCGCGTCACTCTGTTTTCTTTCCGTTTCTAATTTCAGGCGGAGGCAAGAGTGACGACCGGCTCTCTTTCTCTCTCTCTCTCTCTCTCTCTCTCTCTCTCTCTCTCTCTCTCGCATGTATGTGCGTACGTGCGTATACCCGACCCGCGATTGCCGCACGCAACGACATGGTCCACGATTGCAAGTGCAGCGATCGGCGGCCGACCGCGTGTCGCGTCATCGACCCGCGATCGCGCGCTTGTATGCGCGTCGCCGCGGCTGTATGCATTACCATACACGCGCCAACTTGCTTTTTGCAGCGTCGAGTTTTTACATCTTTTCTTCTTTTTTATTCCGAGAAAGAGAGGAAAGGAAAGAAGAAGGAAGGAGGCAGTCAGAGAGAGAGAGAGAGAGAGAGAGAGAGAGAGAGAGAGAGGGAGGGAGGGGGCGCATGTGACAGCAACTACTGAACGGTAGTGTATAGGTGCGTCTGGCCGTCGCGGCCGTCGCGTCGAGCGAATTGGTCCATGAACGACCCTTCCTGACACGCACCGACCACGGGGGCACCCACGTATCCATTCTCCGTTTACCATATGCGGGGAGTTCGGTCTCGCGGTTAGGAGCGAGCGCGCGCGCGCTTCCATCGTGTCTTAAACCTTGCTGTGGTACCAGGCGTATGCGTCGCGGCGCTCAGTCTCCTCGCGGATCGTCAGTTTGAAAGGGTCGCTCGATCTGTCCACTCTGCTGTCGCCGTTGTCGCTGCCCGTCCGATTTTGCTTTCCGCTCGTTCTCGTGACCGGATCGTTCTGACGTCGATCCCAACTGCAGGTTCGTGCCGCATTATTGCAGTGCGTATGACTTAGAGAAAGATAAAAGCTGCTATTTCCGCAGGATAATTCCGCTCGGACGGTGAAGAAATTGAGCATTAGTTCAAGCCGGTTAACTACTTTTGCTTTTTCTTTTTGTTGATGTTCTCGCGCTGCTGTGCGGTGTATTTCGCGCCCAATAATAATTCTTGATAATCGATGGGGTTCAATTACCTTTCGTTGTTATTTTTCGCAGGAGATTAATTCCATTTTCTTTTTTTTCTTTGCCTTTTTTCTCTCGAGGATGTACGAGGATGGAGTTTTTTCCATGCGAACTGCGGGGACACCTTTATTATGGGGGGAGCAAATGGAAATTGAGAAATATCGTTCGAGTCAGACGATAAAATAAAATTATATTTTCACGCCTTCGCAATGTGTCTTATAGCCGTTGCTACAGCGGCGGTAATTTCTAGTCCTAGTTGTTAGCCTAATATGACGGGTGATCGATTACAAATTTGACGGACACGCGAGTGTAGGGTGTAGGATAGTTGCCATGGTCGGGCGTAACTGTAATATCGAGTTGCCGAGTTCCTTACTTAGGCATGCATCAAGGCCGCCGATTTCCTAATCTCCCACGGTATATATCGATCGATTGTCCTTTTCACTCCCATGTGCCACGTCGTTTCTCTCGTCCCATTCCCATTATTTTTCTACAATTTCTCGAGCTTCCCCACGACTTGATAGCCATGCCTCTAATCCCTCCTAAGGACGCAAGGCATGCATCAGGGGCATGCACACGATATTACATTTCAACTAGGATAGTATTGTTAGTGACAACGAGCAAGAATATAGCTGATAGAATATTTGAACATGATCATTGAAGTTGTATCGTTGGCGATAGTTGCGCGCGACGTTCGTGTCAATCAGAACCAGAATACCAGAAATACTATTCCTCGTACCAATGCTCGTAGGTGAAATTTTCTTACAGGGTTTCTTTCAGATATATCCAAGTACTTATCTAGATTATCGTCAAGAGTCCTTTCTGTTCGCTTCGTTCCTCATTTGTTTGTCAACGAGAATTGAGAATTTGAGAATTTTATTCGCATATTGCGCATTGTCGTTGCCGTAGGTTTTCCATCCCCGTGCTGTCACTGACGGGAGCACGCAACGGACGAGACGGAAGGAGTCGGGCGTTTTTCGACAATTCACAAAGTGCCATATCGTATGCGCGAGGTCGAGCGCGGATATACGGCGGCACACGGCGGCGATTCTCTCGTATTTGCATACATTGTGGTGGTGCGCGCGCGCGCGCGCGCGACAGGTTGGAATTCGAAGGTGAGAGAATCCTTGGCCGATTCCACGAACGCGACGCTAGAGGGTCCGAGAGAAACTGATCAGAATCGTTCCAGCATCCGAAGTAGGCATACACGTCGTCGCGCGCGTCGGCCGTAGTAAATAGCGCGGCAATAATCGGCGAATGATCCCGCGTCGGGCATTCCGTCGCGTCGCGTCGCGTCGCGCCGAGCAGCAAAGATACAAACGAGAAACGAAGGAGAAAGCACTCAACGAACGATCGCATCGAAAACTGTGAGCTCCTCCGCGCGCACTACTCGATGGTGCGCGCGAATCTCTCGAGGTTCGAGAGGGAGAGAGAGAGCGACCGAGAGAGGAGATCAACGAAGAAGAAAAATACGCATCCGAACGAAGTAGACTCACGCTAATCAGACGGCGATTTGACGCCGGACAGCGGGAACATTTTTAACGAACATCATCCAGAACGACACTAACGAGATCGTTGAATAAGTGTGTTGCGCGCCGGCGGCGAATAGGCCGGTAGAAAAGTCGCGGAACTCGGTGTGTGTGCGCGCGCGCGCGCGCGCGCTCTGCCGGGTTACGAGCGTGTCTCTCTTATCGGAGACGCGTGCGCGCGGGCCGGAAAGTTCTAGTGTGTGTCTCGGTTCCGCGGTCGCGTCCGTCGAGTGTGTGCTGCGCGCACAGTGTGTCATGATAGTTTCGCGTGACCGGGCATGAACGTTGAAACCTATACTACTCTCTACTTCGCTGGGACGGCCCGGGGCCCGGAGAAGGACAGGATGTCGACCCAGGCCTACTACAAGGAGCGGCTCGGCTTCGATCCGGCGGATACCGTGGCCGAGCATCAGCGCGAGCAACGTTCCCAGCACGGTTACGAGGAGTCCCTCTCCAAGTTCAAAGGTCAGAATGCGAACGGATTCCCGGAGGACGGTTCGGGACGGTGGTGCAATGGCGATGTCGGGGAACACCGCGCCGGCAACACCCAGGCTTTCTGGGGCTGCTGGGCGATGTTCATTGAGGCGCACGGTAGGTGGTGGGAAAGAGGGAGACGAACACAGAGAAACGGAGAGGGAGATAGAGAGAGAGAGAGAGAGAGAGAGACAGTTGGCATGCGGATGCTGGATCCCAGATTTTTGCGAGAGTTCCTTTCTTTCTGTACTTTTCTTGAATTTTCCCCTTTCTCTCTCTTTTATTTTTTCTTTTTCTTCCCTTTGTGCGTCCTATTTTATGCCCTATTATTCTCATGATTTCTCAACTCGCACGGTGTGATATTGGTTTTTACTAACTCTCTCAAATCAGTCTGTCAATCTGCGCTCGTTGCATCGTTTGATAAGTGTTTGGACGTGTGTACGCGTGTGTGTGTGTGTCACCTTTTCTCGTCTTGCTTCTCAGCAACGTCGAGTATACGTCGAGTGTGCGTATTGTATACACTACGTGCGGAACATTCGAATTGTCACTACGTGTGTATGTGTGTGTGTGTGTGTGTGTGTACGTGAGATGAACGGATAGATAACGAAAAGCAGCAGCGGCGGCTCTCTTTCATCGTTTGCTCTCGATCAGACTAATGTATTTCAATCTTCTATTTAGTCTTCTTTTATTTGATTTCGAGGCTTCAGTAAAATCTCGAGAGATTCCATGTGGTATTGAGTATTTTTGCACACAGGAGTCATACATCGTTTATAAATGTTTTGTTTTTTTTTCGTTTTTTTTTTCCGGTTTGGCGCATTACGCCTAGACTACCTTGTAGCGCGCTATTTTACGACGCGAAACGAATCAAATAGAAAAACAATAAACAATAGCCACCGTTTTTCCTCTCTCTCTCTCTCTCTCTCTCTCTCTCTCTCTCTCTCTCTCTCTCTCTCTCTCTCTCTCTCTTCCCGCCTCTTCCCTCGCTCTGCCCACTTGGATTGCGTACGACGATGCAATAGACAAGACGCCCAATGCTTTTCACTCGATGCAAAAGTAAACGACCGGAAGGCTCATGTACGGTGACGTCATTCCGTAACTTTTGTCCTTTCGTATGTCTTGGATTGATCGTAATTACCGGTAATCGTGCCCCATAGTAATTCATTTCGTGACGTGAGCAGCCGTTACGTCGTTCGTTATCAGCAGCAGCGGCACTTTCGTTGCTTTCGTATCACGCGGCGGACGCGCGCGCGCGCGCGCTTAGAGCAACTCCTCCGGCTGCCGTTCTTTGACGCGCGGTGGCTGCCGATGGCTGGCGAAGGACGCGTATATTATGAAATCGAGAGTCTCTTTCATTCGCTCGTGTTATGACCTCTCTCTCCTCTTGCCTGCACGAGCATACCGGGGAACCAAGTCGGGCGATTAATGACAGAAGCGTAAAATGCACGCGCGTCGTTCGTCGCTCTCCTCGTGAGTGGGCACGAGGTATAAAAGTTGGAGATGTCAATGATATATCGTCGTACGAGTCGTACGAACGGGGGGGCGTGTTTTTCTTCTTTCTTCACGCTCCACGTTCCTCCCCCGGGATATTCTTCGAACGGGATGTGCTCACTCGACTAAAATGTCTGCTGTGAACGTGTAAAATGGATCGGACACATTCACAGACGCAGATACGCACACAGACACGAATGTGATATCAAAGTCTATGAAAATTTGCCGTACCGTGATTCATCAAAATTGCTGCTTCGAGCACCTTTTCGGCCAAAGTCGTCCACTAATATCGCAATAAATAAAAGTTATACATAGTTAGAAATGTGACAAAGTATTTATTGTCGCTTTAACGTGGCATTTCCGTATTTATCGAATGGACACTTGGTGTCCACAGTTGAAGTACGAAGTGAATCGGTTAATTACTTTGAGGAATGTCCGAAAAGACCAGATATCAATGAATACGTTCATTGAACGCATTTATCTTGTCGCCCTTGTAACATCAATCACCGTTATCGGGCGGAATGCCCTCGCATTCCAGCAGCATCCGTGCCAGCCAACAAGGACTTATTCTAAAGAAAGAATACATCGACGAATGTGCGAACGCATTTCTTCGCGATTAGTTTATTAAGGCCTCTCCTCCTACCGATGCGTTTATATATATATATATATAATGTTTTCGTACATAGGAAAGAACTTTATCCACAATACGTATCAATTACAAAGTTGAGAATCATGTAGTTTTTAATCCCGAGAGGCGTGCGATTTAGTAGAAGCTCAAACGTCTCCTCGTAAATCGCAATTACGTTTTCACGGGACTGATCCGTAAGATCCGCTTGTTCGTAGGCATAGATTGACGAAAACGAGCCATTGTGATCATACCGATTGATAATGACCGGCAATTCACGCAAACCCATCTCCGCGATTGCGCCATTGTGAATTGGATTGCCCAGGAATTAGTTCGCGATTGGTAGTAGGCTGTGGTAGTTGCAAGACTGATAAAGATCGTAAGCTGCTTTTCGGGCTAGTTTGATGAATTTAACTTTCGTTAATGTCGAGGGTATCAACACAACTGACTGACACAACCAACGGGACTCCAACGGGAGTTTCGTGTTGAAAACCGTGTTGATCGTGGTGTCTCTCGCGATTCGCCTAATGACGATTTGGCCAGTCACGATCGAGGAATTTCTCGTCGATGTTTTATCCTGTCCGGGGGACTGTTAGGCGACCGTTAGGAAGACCATTTTTGAGATTTTATTCAATCTCATCGATGTAAATACTGATACTTGACTTACATTTTTTTTCGTGATTTTTTCATGGACATAACTGATTAGAGATCGTCTCTCTCTCTCTCTCTCTCTTTCTCTCTCTTTCTCTCTCTCTCTCTCTCTCTCTCTCTCTCTCACTCGATCAATGGTCTTTTTAACTATACTTAATTATGCTTAAAATGTTACAAAATCATTCGGACGTCGAGAATCTGGCGAGCGCCGGGAATCAATCTAGCGCCATACATGTGTACAGATGTATAACAGATCTGTACAACTGTCGCGCGTTGTTGTACGGAAAAAAGTTGCATCAATTCGATATTCCTCTCCTTAAAACTTGATTTTACTGTCTTTTTGCGCATATACGCAACGGAGGAGATTAGATAGGACGATCTCTCTTCTCGTGTCTTTCTCCATTGATGCGCGATCGATTCTCATTCAGGACGATAATGACGGAAGCGCAGTTATAATCGACAAGTAAGGGAAGTGAAGCCGTATGTGTGTGTGTGTGTGTGTGTGTGTGTGTGTGTTCCAGTGTTCTACTTACCTGATATCAGAAGGATCGCGTTTCAGCAAGTTCTTTCACCCAGATTTTCAGTTTTTCTTTTCTCTTTTTCAAGGAATTAATAATGAAGCGGGTGTGCCGAAACCATGATAAATTAATAAACCACAAGGCATTGATGTATCCGCGATTCACTGCGCAAAACACAACGCGACTTTCTGTTTGGTAATAATATCGTTACTCGTTAATTGTACTCGCAAATAAAGACGAGATACAATTATCCGATGCAATTTCGGGGTTGTTGGCAAGCTGGATTAAAACTGGGTCAAAGTTCGGCCTAACACACAATGTGAAATGAGTTAATCGGGGAAGAACAAATGCTCGGTTCGCAGATTACGGCGAATTGTGCGATTTTGGCGGCAAGTTGAGCCGTAAAATTCACGGAGCTGCAGGTGCTGCTGTATGTGCTGCGTGCGTATAAGACATTAATCAACTTTCCGTACGTTCTCATAGTACACAAAGTTTCTGCCGTGTTAATTGTCACGCGAAAATCCCTGCACTATTCTGGAAAAATGTTGGAAATTAAGGTCATCGTGCACGAACTTACATACGTAAATGCCGGATTAATGTGATGCTCCCTCGCCGTCGTATAATTTTGCGGACGTCGTTATCGCACTTATCACACTGGTGATGCTTTATTAAACTATGTTATTAATAGAGACAATAGATGCGTTACGTGTTTGAATTGCGTGCAGAGATATAAGATGGTGATTCTTACGAGAGAGAGTGAGAGAGAGAGAGAGAGAGAGAGAGAGAGAGAGAGAGAGAGAGAGAGAGAGAGAGAGAGAGAGAGAGAGAGAGAGAGAGAGAGTGTGAGACAGGCGCGCTTGGAAAGTGTGATGGTTCACAGAACGAACCACTCGAGATATTTCTAAATCTAAAAGTGTACGTATCACAGTGAGTAACTCTTTACTTCTCCATTCTCCTTATATCTCATCTAGCGGCGTTAGACTGACACTTATCGTCAGCTTGTCGATCTTTCCAACACACCCGGTCGATGATGTCGTCGCTCGAATAACGTGAACTTTTCGCGGGCTACGATGATGACGTGTCGAAAAAAGTGTGCGTTACAAGTAGTCATAGCTCGAAGCGTACATGTATGCGAGTTTTTTTTCACGCTGATTATACGCGATTAATTGTCAATAAGTAAAAAGAACGATTTATCATCATCACGCTCGTAACAAAGTTTCTTTGTTGCTTCATCGCGATACGACTTTTGTATTACAGACAATATTTCCAAAATAAAATGACCAAACGTGATTCATTTTGTCGTGAGACGCACGACAGGGAGGTTTGGTTTCGGGAGTGCTGCGTGCGTCACTACATTTATTTACGCATGCTATGCTAAAATATAACCGCGATTACGATTATATTACGTTAGGGCTATAATGAATCATGATTAATTTGTAAGAAAATCCGAAGTGACGCAACGTCCTTGCGGTTGCACACACTCCACTCGGTCGTGCCTCACGTCGACGACGACCAAACAAATGGTCTTGAATGATAATTTCGGATTCGAGTGACGTTCAGCATTCAGTCGATATTCAGTCATTGGATATCCAAAGTATGAGCAAAGCAGCAGAGAAGCAGAGATGTGTAAAAAATACAAGTGAAAATATTGGAATACCCGCGTTTGTACACAATTGTGATCGAAAGTAGTGTATAATTCTATTTTCTATCAAAGCTTCCCTTTCAATCGGGCAACTGGGCTTGTACTCATTGTCGGGATTTTTGACTCGCATGCTTGACGCTGCTGGAGCGATTTAGCTCCAGGCGGCCGATCCTACGTTTGTTAATTCGCTTGCCTACCCGCTTGACCTCATCCGACTTTTGACCCGATCCGGCTGCTTGCGACTTTGATTTCGTTATACTGACCTCGACCATCTTTAAAAAAAAAAAAGAAAAGAAAGGAGAAGGTTTATTTCGAGGTGACGTTGCGTCACCTCGACGCTCGCTGTCATGCTAGAGCCGAGCATAATGTTACATTATGCCGCCGCGCGATACGGTGTCACTGTTATGCATACCTATCGACGAGTAGTGACGAATTGCGAAATTTGATTTTCAGAGTAATCTATATCGTCGTCTATGAGCGTCGATACGAGAGACGATAGACGCGGTGTGACTTGCACTACGTTTCAAATGAAATTATATCATGCGTCCGCGCGCGACAACTCGTCGCGCCTCTTGTGTGACGACACAAGAGGCCACGACGAAGGTAAAACGATGTACGATCGCACGTATTTGATATCTTTGTTCTCTTGTTTGTTTACAGATGAACGGGATGCTATACAGAAGAAGACCTTCACGAAGTGGGTGAACAAACATTTGAAAAAGGTGAGACCGACTCTCCCATATTAGCGAATCTGTGTTGACTGTGTTTACTTGCTCGCGTCTTTCGGCGAATCCACGAGGATTCTTCTTTCCATGCCGCGTTTCGATTTCGAGAATTATCAGGTGCGCTCTCCTCCTTGGTCTTATCTTTTCATTATTTCCTCATTGAATCGATTAGAAATCTATACGCGTCGATTCTTCGCTCGATCGCGTCAAGTTGCCGCGAATCGCTCCAAGTAGAAGAGAAAAGACGGAGGCTCTCAGTCGAGTCGAATCGAGATGATCGCGGACAATAGAATCCAGACGTTTATACGTCGTACGTACGTTTGCGGTAGCAACTTGCGTGAAAGCTGGCCGCTGGTGCTAAAGCGGTAACGAGAGAGGCTCACACGGAGCAGGCGTTACAAAACTCGATGCTGTCGCTATGTCCGCTCCGTCGCGACATACGCACGCACTCACCACGCAGGAGTCCGGTGTTTCGTCCCTTTTTATCCTGGGCTTTCGAATGGGATCTATCCTTGCCTTTTTGTGCGTGCTCGTCGCATTCGCGCACGTCGCTCTTTAACCGCCGTACAAGTAGGCGTGTACGGCGCGAATAGCCGTCGCGTAAAAATAAGTAAACGCGTCGTTGCGCAATCACGGTCCCGATATTGCGCGGGGCACCCCTCCCCCCTCCCCCCGCGTGTTGCGTATGTGGCACGCACGTGGGTCGAAAGTACCTGGTCTCGCGAGGAGATACGACTATAGAAGGCAGCGGCAAGCGAGAGCAAGACAAGTGGGCGACACGATCGCGTGGAAAATCTCGGGCGACAAATCGATGATACATACGTACGAGGGGGGAGGGGGGGGGAGTGCGTATGTAGTTCCCAAAGCGCGTTCTTTGGGGCGAAGAACTCTTTGTTCGCGTGAAGAAAAGTACCGGGAGAAAAATACCGTGCGTACGCGGCAGAGGAGGGTAGGGGGGGGGTCTCTGGTAGGAATCCTCCGCTTCCTCCTCCGCGTGCGCGCGATAGCTCGTTAAGGGGGGCTGCTGAATATATAGTACTGCTTTTCCATTTCATTACGTACGGCTGTAAATATCTTATTTATCTTTACAGACTGCAAGTACAAGTGTCAATGAATCGGGGAATACCACATGTTGTATAAAAAGCAAAAGACAGGGAGTTGTAAGAAACCTTTCAATTTATCGACATTTGTACTTTTATTCGATAAAAGTATATTTGCTGTTCTGACTGACTGATATTATTATATTCATATATCATAGCCGAGTGGAGAAACAGTGCAAACTACGAAAGCTGCGGGGCGTATTCTCTTAAGCTCCTCCTCTTAATTCCTTCCGAGTCGAAACGAGACTTACTTTACTGCTAATTTATCTGTTTCGGTTGTGATTCGGCAGAATGTTACTTTCGTATTTTGATCAACGGTATCGAACGATACCACCGACCGTTGCTCCGCTTTATTTGTATTTTGCAATGTCAAACTTGCGCCGCCACGGTTGCATAGCGGGATAGCGGGGTGATTTCGCGCTGATAACGCGAGATTGTTTATCGTTTTTCGCGACAAAAGTCCTCGATACCGATAGCGAAAGATATCGGTGAGCTTTGATCTTCGGTTCGATTGATTGTTATTCCTAGCGCTCTGCGCATTGCATGTACATCCGGGATAAGAAGGTGGCTAAACGTACGTCCCGTCTCTCGATCCGAGGAACCGTTCGTCCGCGATTGCCGAGTTGCCGAGCGTGAATATAACCGCGAGCTATGTCGTGTGGCTGGAGATTCTCCGTCTCGTAAGAGGGCTGCAAGAGAGAGCGCGTCGTACGTTTGACGAGCACGTTGCAGCCGGGAATATATCAGCAGCAAACAATGCTGAGAGAAAAACGTTAACTCTCAACGGTTAACTTTACAACGTTCGCGCTTTCGACGATACGTCGCTCCCCCCTGTCTTCCGCCCCCCCCCCCCCCGAAATGTCGCTTCGTACAACATCACGTGTGACACGTTGATCACTGCTAAATGTGTGAGACTCTTGCTAAAACGACCGTACGCCAAAATTGTTTCGATTATATCGAGCTATCGATAAAGTCAAGACAAGCGCGTCTCTGATATTCGAAATCGTATTAATTGTCGGTTGCTGATAAGATTTGATAATAGCTTCGTGAGCGGCGGCTTGTCGTCAAATTCGTCTCGATGTGAAGCAACGTATTATTCTCGACTGCTGCTTTTTTGCAGTGATTCAATTAACGAATTACTTTAATAAGTATGTCAGAATGAAGGAAAGCGCTGACTCTTACACCGGCGGTGTAGGCGGTCACACAAGGACTTGGACTTTGTTGGGTGAAAATTCGTGAAAAAACTTTCAGTCGTGAAGAATAATAAATATAGATAAATATAAATAAATAAATAATAAATAATAATAAAGGATAAAAACGCTCGCTCGATGATGAGTTTATTATTAGGAGGGGGATCTTGTTCCGGTTATTCGCTGTAAAATTCACGATTCGGATCTAGTCTAGTTTACATATTAATTCATGTACACTCACAAATGTCTAATTAATTTGTCGGTTACATGCGAGCTTAAGCGAGAGAGAAAATTTACGAAACACGGAGTCTCGCGTCGTCACTTTTCTTCGACGAAACGCGTGTGTCAGTCAGGACTTAATACAGACAATGATTCATCCGTCACGGCATAGCCGAAGCGAGTCGAGTCGAGTCGAGTCGAGTCGAGTCGAGTCGAGCCATGCCGCGCGCGAGGTCGGTCGGCGGCTCTGGGAATGGTTCGAATCACGGCCGTATACGGGCGGAGTTGTCCCGTCGACGTGTAATTATCGTAAGCTGGCATCGTTTCCTGCCCACCGTTTCTCTCATTCCTCTTCTCTCTCGTCACTCTCTCCGCGCGCGCAACGCACGCTTCTTTTGTCGCGCGCGACTCATGGATGAAGCGCACGCGGGATAGCGGATGTGTGAGGGCGCCGAGGATGAGGGAGATATAGGGATTGTACAGGGATGAGGTATGGGGGGAGGGGATAAATTCGAGAGGAAAGAAACTTTGGATCGTTTGCAAAAATCTCGGAATATAATAGATCTTTCTTTTATTATCTCGTATCTTTCTCACCCATTCCAAATCATCAAATACATATATCTATTTTATTTTAAGCGCTTTATTTACCAGTTACACATCTGTAAAGATGTGACAGAGCGGATCTTGAGCGGTTTCATTCAAGAGATTTTTCACTCTTGAAACGTCGATATATCGAATGCAGAGTATCTAGAGTGAAGAGTCTCGATCTCCTCGAGACGGGATCACAAGAATTGTACAAACGAGACTCGAATAGATGATCGACGAACGAAAAAATGGGTGATATATCTCGATTCTGATGCAATATTGCAATGAGAGGTTACACGATAGAGGGAGGGGGGGGAAGCAGACAAATTACATCAACAATAGAACGTCGTATTGTGAAAGGTACACACGAATCAACGATCGAAGGCGCAATGATTATTAAAACGCTATTCACACGGAGTAGGCTCTACGCGCGGAGATATACTCGAGTTTGCGAGGAGTATTCCGCGTTAAGCTTTTTTTTTTTTTTGTTTTGTATTATCGTACACCAACGAGTATCTGAATCTATTATCTGAGTTTATTTTGGAAACTGTCGAATGTATTGTACATTCGATGCTTCGGCGCGAAATGTTATTCGCGACGACGCGAATATTTGCTGCATATGATGGAAACCTCGTAAAAGAAATTGTGTGTGTGGTGCGTACGATGTTCGCTCGTTAAGCGATATCGGTTGGCGGCATCGATCTAAGATCGATTGGTCGGTCGGTGGCTCCCTCGCTCGCTCCTTCGGTTTCGCGCGCCCACGTTTGGTCTTGCGAGCCTGACCTTATTCGGAAACCCTCTTCGTGAATGCCGTTCCCGATTTATCACCTCTCGCCCGCAGCTAGAGGTGGGGCTGTAGGGCAGGTGAGGTAGGTAGCGTTTATTCTTCGGGGCGCCGTCGCCCCGGTGGACCTTCGAAGACAGGGAATACTCTGTCATGAAGAGAGAGAACAGTCTTTTACAGACTGTTTCTAGCAATCGCTTTTTTCAGCCAGGTGTTGTACATATTTGATCCGGCGACGGCACAAATTTGCGACGCTTACGAGGGCGAGGGTGTGATTTATATAACCAGTTGATCCTTGACAAAATTTGTCGCTCCTATATTTTCGTTTGCTCAGCGAAACTTGAAGGGAATCGTGCGAATCGCCTCTCACAAATGTCTTCTTTCGCTTGCTTCACGTTGAATCGTGTGTTCGCGAAATTGCGGATACAGGAAGTGTACGATCTGTACGATCGAGGATTGAACAGCGAACGTTTCGTAATGTGACGAGAGCTGCCTTTCGTCAATGTGGTCCCGAAGCGAGAGCTTCCATCGTGTCCACAAAAAGACGTGTTAACTGGCAATGGCGTTAATCACAGCCGCGGATCGGAGCACGTTACGGTCGTAATAATAATGGCCATGCTACGCCGGTACGAACGATAAGACCAAGGATGAATCGCTTTATTCGACTCTTCGTGATCTCCTCCCACGTGATCGACCCACCTAATCATATGTAAATCATCGCCATAACTACGACGAACTGTTGCATCTTTTTTTTTTTATGTTTCCCGCAGCATTGGAAGTACGTCAAGGTATGCATCCCAATTATATTACTTCTTTTATGATAATACACACACACACACACACATATATATATATATAGGATTAAAAAGACGCAATCATTATGCATTTGTCAAACGATACATTTTCAATCGTACTTTAATGCGTAATATAATGTACTACTACGTTGTTTAATGATCGCAGAGAATGTCGCGTTTTCGATTCGACGGCAATTAGCAAACAGCCGCGAAAACTCCGACATTTCTCCCGAGAATCGTCTCTCCCAGGAACGCGCGCACAAGTGATTCGCGACATTTAGGATAATTACGCTTTAATTAGCGCAGTAAAAGCATTCACTATTACCGTTCACTTCTATTAGTCTTATTCTCCTGTGCTCCTGCGATGCTTCATACTGAAATGAAGCTCGGTCGGTAATCGTAGTAGATTCGTCGCGTGACGAAATGCGACGAAACGAGATATTCCAGTGATGACGTTCTCTTTCGTCCTGTTACACATGTGGCATGTCCGCGACTCTTCATTCTCATCGTCGTGACTGTGGCATGCGAAATGGATTTCAGAGTCTTCTTTTCACTTTTACTCAAAAGCTCAAAGTGACAAATCGCGAAGCCTGTCGCCGCGTCTCTCATGTGAGACAATCGACAGCACCAATAATGTAAACCATTTTGCGAAAATTATATAATAATATAATATTAGATAATTGCTCTTATGCGAGAGGGAGGTCTCTTTTACTATTACTTATAAACAAGAGTAAACTCTCGTCGCAGAGGATGTTCGCGCATAGTCCGATTAATTGAACTCTCGTTCGGAGTGCGTGTTGCTGGCTCCTAAGATGGAATGTTTAGGCTCCCAAGTCCGGAAATACTTACGGCTTGCGTTATGGAACTTGAAAGGTTCGCCGAGGTTCGGCGAGGTTCGTTGTTTGTTAGTTCAGAGTGAGCATAGTTCGCCGACAGTTGGCGAACAGTTGGTGAGCTGCGCTTGGCACAGTTTATTATTAACAGAAATAATAGGCGGATCTAATTGTTACGGATTATTGTGTCAGCGATATAGTTCTTCTTTTCAACACAAACAGGGAACATTTGCTAATTATATTTAGGCGAATTTACTACATCGAATTAATACATAAAACAGAATCGGGCAATCAGAAAGGAGAGAGTCTGTTTTTCTAATCCTTCATATCTTTGAACTCAACACAACTCGACACTTTCTTTTGTCACGATGTCGAAATTTTCAAGTGCAATTATCTTCTTCTTCTTTTTCTTTTTTCTTTTTTCTTTTTAATGACCCTTCACGTATTACGTGATATTCGTGATGGGGAGACGCATCGATATCCGAAGGCTTCGCATAAAAAAATAAAACATTGACATGTATGAGCGTTGTCTTGTGTACAACCGAGGGTACCTGTTAATCCTATTCCATTGTGTAAAAGAACGAATGTCGCAATATCGTCGTAAGACGCGATACGTCGAAATCGTCTTTTGAGACTCATAAATGCGTCTCGCAATTAGTCACGATTACGAAATGCGGATGGTAGGCGGATCACGTGTGCTAGTCTGTCAATCGCTTGACATTTATTCACCTGGCTGCATGGACACGCGACGCACACGCATACGCACACGTGTGCGTGCGTGCGTGTGTATTTAATACGCGTTCTCGATACGTACGTAATGTACGTGACGCACGCAGGGGCTCACACGCAGGGGTACGAATCCGTACGAGAACTAACTGACAACTGTTGTATGAACCTTTTTATTTAAAACATTTGTGTGAATATTTTTCGAAAATCTCCACGTTGAAACACACACATACACACAGAGAGAGGGAGAGGGAGGGAGAGAGAGAGAGAGAGAGAGAGAGAGAGAGAGAGAGAGAGAGAGAGAGAGAGATTTGTCTGCAAACGTTTGTACAATACAAATCATTTCAATGAAATATGCTTGATGATTTGTTACATTTCTATCTATGTCTCAATCATCAATAAGTAGTAGTGTAAGTAAATTTGCATTCCGTTTAACATATTTTTTGGTTATCCAACGTCTCGATTGTTTGGGTAACTACTCTCTTGCTAAGCTAAGTGTGTTTCTACGTGGGGACTCTCCAAAATCGATGATCATGATTCGTATCCCGACGAATGAATTCGTCATCGTATATTCGCTTCTGCTCTCACGCCATATTTCTTTTTGTCTCCGCTTATCGCGGGTGATGGTGCTCTTAATCGCTATCTTTTTCAGACTTACACGTGCCTACACGTGTGCGTCCTTGTGAACAACCAACCGTGCTGTTCCCCCACCGTAAGTCTGTAGTTTTCAGTCATTTGGCAACACGCACGTACGATTTATCGTTGTGCTTGCAATCGTTGTGTAAATTCCTTCCTTTTCGCGAGTCGAATTGAATGAAAGAACGATGTGAGACGTGCGAGAGAGATGCGTGCGCACGCTTGTCGCGCGGTCGTACGCGACACGTATCCCACGGGGATACACAACCTTGGCTATTTGCGCGAGTCGCGAGTGTGTTCTCTCATGTTATTAACGTGTCACTGTCTGACCAACACCCGCACGTGAAATGACGTGAGTGACATACTTCACTTTGCATGTGCTAGTGCTGACCGTTGGCCGACACGCGCGTTATTAACGTGTATTTTTAAGAGCTGCCTGCTTTTTTTTAATATTTGCATGCGTCCGCTTGTTGTTTGCTTACGAATAGCTCGACTCTTAGACGGCAACAATAGACGGCAAAATCGCGGGACAGCAGGCGCGGCATGATCCTTTGGATACCGTTCGTATCTTTGATCTTAGTCGCGCGGTTTTCTCGTACTTACGTACGTGTGTGTATGTGTGCGCGCGTGTATGCGCGCTGACCCGTTTTTGGAAAATTATCGCGATTCGGAGTCGCAAACTTTCGAGTGTTATTCTCTGTATATCATCTTTATTGCGTTGCGCACCGCGCTATTACGCGGACTCATATCCATGCTGCTTTTGTTATTTACATTATGCATACGCAATATGCACTCAACATTCCTGCGGCTTTTCGTTTTCCGTTTTCCGCGGCAACCGTTCGCTCGCGCTCGCGCACAAAGTTACATAGCCGATGGACTATGCCTCCTTCTTCTCTACCTTGTATGACGTATATGTATATACCCTCGTCGTCGTCATTTAGCTCTGCTGTGTTTGTTTCCTGTGCGAAAATTTTCATACCTATCCTTTTCCTTTTTGGTTTTTAAGCGAACGAGCTCTGCTCCAATATGAAAAGCGGCAATTAACTTGCTTTCACGCGCGAAATTTGTTACAGGCGAGCCGACATGTCGGGGATTTGTTTGAGGATCTGCGCGATGGCCACAATCTCATCTCCTTGCTGGAAGTGCTCTCAGGCGAGCACCTTGTGAGTATTTGTCTTTCGCGAGGCTCTCTCTCTCTCTCTCTCTCTCTCTCTCTCTCTCTCTCTCTCTCTCTCTCTCTCTCTCTCTCTCTCTCTCTCTCTCTCTCTCTCTCTCTCTCTCTCTCTCTCTCTCTCTCTCTCTCCTCTCTCTCTCTCTCTCTCTCTCTCTCTCTCTCTACCCCTCTCCCTCTCCTTCTTCTCTCTCTCTCTCTCTCTCTCTCTCTCTCTCCCTCTCCCTCTCTCCCTCTCTCCCTCTCCCTCTCTCCCTCTCTCCCTCTCTCTCTCTCTCTCTCTCTCTCTCTCTCTCTCTCTCTCTCTCTCTCTCTCCTCTCTCTCTCTCTCTCTCTCTCTCTCTCTCTCTCTCTCTCTCTCTCTCTCTCCCCCCCCCAACCCACGTCCTAGCTTTGTTGTGTACTTAAAATTCATCTCTTTTTAATAAATTAATAGTAATCACTCGCGCACAACGGCATTGGCTTCTATTCATGGTCTTTCAATTTATTTCTGTATAGAGTCATATCAATATTTCTTTATTTTCACATTTGTTTGCTTTCCGTTGTTTCAAAAGTAAAATTTGTAAGCTGTCGAGTCACTTACACTTATGCTGAATGTATCGAAATAGTAGAATATAGGAAGTAGTAACCGCGTTAAATTGTTCAGGTTCGGGTTAACGTTTAGGTTGTAGCGACGATTGGATCAAGTAATTGCGATAATTGTGTCCTCGACGGCGAGCACAATTAATCGGTGAATCGCTTGTATACTTTTCAGCCACGGGAGAGGGGTCGAATGCGTTTTCACATGCTACAAAACGTGCAGATGGCCCTCGACTTTTTACGCTACAAGAAGATCAAGCTGGTCAACATCCGGGCAGAGGACATCGTGGATGGTAATCCGAAACTCACCCTCGGCCTGATATGGACGATCATCCTGCACTTCCAAGTAAGTAGTCCTTCGTTGCGCTCATTCTCGAGAGGACGTGATAAAAACACGCTGATGACCGCGCGCGCTCGCATTAAGTTGACCCCGTGAGTTAACGCGGCCGTGGCAACGATGAACTCACGCGAGCGAGCGTGATTCGCCTTTCGAGTCGCAACGGTACGTCTCGGAGCAGCAACAGCAATAACAGGAGCAGCAACAACAACAACAACAACAACAACAACAACAATAACAACAACAACAAAACGGCAACCCCGCAGATGCGCGGCGGGGTGGTAGGCAGGCAGACAGGCAGGCAGGCAGGCAGGCAGGCAGGCAGGCAGGCAGGCAGGCTGGCTTTTTGTAGGCTTGTCTCTGGGTCTGCCACACGGCATCGTAATTTTATGCGCGTCGTATACTCTTGTCAGCGCTGCATAGGTTGCATTTCATCGTTTATTCGGTGTTATGCAGGAACTTTGAAAAGTTGCGAACGGGTGCGACCTGTTTTCGACTTTTGCGTATCTTTTTGCAAGTCGTATTACGAGGAGAAATCTGAAGGCCTTTTGGTCGGAAGAAATAGAATTTCCTCGGCTCGAAAGCAAAGGCGCATTGAGAATGTGTTCTCTTTCCTGACGACCAAGATGCGGTTCGCGTTCGTTGTCACGTTGATTCCAATCACCTGTTTTTCCTCACCGTTCTTCTTTTTCACATCACACGAACATTATCACACATTGTCTGTCGCGATTTTTTCATTTTGTCATCATTCTCGGCGAAACATCGTAGCGACCGCGGCATCGGCGTGTACGTCGTGTCGAAAGTATCTATCTTGCACATTTGTGTATTCATGCGCGTACCGTTGGACTAACGGAATACGTTGGTTAGTTCTACTTGGTTGCTGGGTGCGGCGGTAATACTTTCGTCCTGTTGGGAATTGCTAATCGGTCACTTTCCGCGCTGCGGGATACCGCGAGAGAGCGCCGATAAGCAGCGAGGCTTTTTCTTTCCACGTTTTCATGTCACTTCACGTCTGTGTTTCGCGGCATAAGTGGATGATTGCGCAGCAACGCTGTTGAATGCTGCACGTTACATGCTGTTTATTTTACGCGATATAATTGTCTGAAAATGATGGATACAATTAAAACGGAATGAATAACTGTCGGAATTGTCCACCGCGCGCGCGAATGAGCGTGTGTGCATCTTTCTGTTTCTGAGTTACACAGGCGGAAATACGCGTGCGCACGCACGCGTTTCGTTTCGGGTATTATGAAATTTGACAGCTTGTCGACCCGCGAGAGTGTTGAATTCTGACAATTTGCCGTTCTTTACTCAACGGTGTTGTGCCAAAGAGAGAGAGAGAGAGAGAGAGAGAGAGAGAGAGAGAGAGAGAGAGAGAGAGAGAGAGAGAGAGAGAGAGAGAGAGAGAGAGAGAGAGAGAGAAAGAGAATAGCTCTCCTCGTTTCACACCATACACGACGCCGCGAAGATTGTGTCTAGCACACAATTATTTCTCACTCGCTTACCTCTCTTGCTTCTTCGGCACTCGAGTTCGAGCTTGAGACGCCCAGCCGTCAAAAATTCCATCGGCGATAGGCGATGGGCGTATCGTAACTCGAGGTAACTCGATGGTTGGGCGACGTTTAAGCGACACGACACGACACCACGCGACATGATGCGACTCAGAACCTGACTCGATTCGCGACGCATGCATGCTAATCAAGCAAGTCGCGAGCGCGCGCATGCCGCGATAGGTCACATTTCTCTCGGCCAGCGCGTTTCGCGCTATTTTTAGCGCTCACATCTCTCGATGTGAGCCGACGTTTATGCCGGTGGGTGACGCCGGTAACGAATGTGCTACGTGCATATAGAGAACCACGTGCATTGCCAAAGAAAAGCGAAAGCGAGAACGCTCGCGGCCGCGCGCTCGCCGCCTCGTCACTCCGCGTCCGTCCGCGACCGGCTGTGACTGGTCGAGAGAGAAAGAGAGAGAGAGAGAGAGAGAGAGAGAGAGTGTCACGCTCGGCCGAGTCGCGCACACAGGGTGCTTGGTCCAGGAGGCCAGAAACCATTTCGCCTGGTCGCGTGCATACGCGCAGCAAGCATAACGTCTGTATGGTCCCACGTACTTATCTCTCAGTTAACAGGCCTTGCGTTTGCTCAGTGGAGCAACCGTCGAATTATTTGCCCGTCGAGTGGGAAATTAAATAATAACGCGCTTGGCGTCCCGCTTGGACGGCCGGGAGTCAAGTGTCAAACCGAGGATCCGAATCTAGACACTTGCTTGCATCATATTTTTCTATTTGTCTTACCATGCACTTGTAATGACAATCTTAATCAGAGTCGGCTGCACGATTTGTCGATTCCATCGAGAGACTTTATTGTTTGAAACTCTCTCTCTCTCTCTCTCTCTCTCTCTCTCTCTCTCTCTCTCTCTCTCTCTCTCTCTCTCTCTCTCTCTCTCTCTCGTTGTTTCATTGCGCGAAGGAGGTCTCGGTCATTCGTTATTTGAGATCGTTCGCTCGTTTCGATCGTTCGCAATTGGCTCGGTCTTCTCGCTTCCGCCGTTGCTCACCGACGAACGTGCATGTAGAGTGATGATTAAAGACGCGGCACGATTGACGTCGATTGTCCGTATCTCCTTTGCACACGCATACGATATATCGGCAAATCTCGAGACCGTCTCGAGGTCCCATGACATGCGGCGATGGATACGGCGACGGCGACGGCGACGGCGGTGGTGTCCCGCATTCGCTCATGAATATTTCTTTTGATAGCAATCTGTGCTGCTACCACCACCGTGTCCGCTACCGCGTGGCGCTACCGCGCGCGCTAAACGGCGAGGCGAAACATCGGCCACGCAATTTATGTACGTCGGCGCGAGAGATCACGCGCGTTTCTTTTTAAGGAGCCGCAAAAAGCTGGGCAAAGGCGCGAACCGAGTTACGCGAGCGTATAAAGGCGGCTAGTGTTCGCGCCATCCCATTAGACAGTGGTGCCTAAGAGAGAAGAAAGAGGAGGAGGTGGAGAAGGAGGAGGAGGAGGAGGAGGAGGAGGAGGAGGAGGGGGGTGAAGAAGGGGAGGAGGAGGGAGGAGGGTGAGGGCGAGGAGAGGAGGGAAAGGAGACTCTTGCGGTTAAAATCGCTCTCGCAATTATTTCACCTCGGTAACGTGTCGAGGCGCCTCGAGACGCTGCGCTGCGACACTTACCTCATTTCGATTTTTGTACGACAAAATTCTCATGAATCAATCCCGCGCATCTGCGTTTTTTCTTTTTCATGACTTTTTTTTTCATCGTGACTCTTGGATTTCCAAATAACGTCTACACTTTTTTTTATTAAACGTAAAATGTAACCAAGCATTTTTATAACAGCACCGTTCTCTGACAAATGGATGATTCCATTTCTAGAGCAATGTCTGCGTGGAACGACACACGTTGCGATAGATGATGCTTTAAATGTTGCTAGCGACTCTAGGCCGGTCTAGGTAGTGTCGACACAGCTGATTGAAGTATATCCCGTCAGACAAATGTAGCTTTGTAATCTTAATTTTAAACGTTGTAAGTACTCACCCATCTAACAGTGAATTTTTTGTTTTCTTTCGCGCCGCAGAGATGGCGACGAAAGGTAAGTTGAGCCTATTTTACACATTCCCTTAAAAACAAAAAAAGAGCAAATAATTCCCGCGATTGCGAGCGACTGCAGTAGTTTGCGGGAGCCACAGTGGTTACACAATAATTGCGTCATTCTCTGCTTTACCGACTATACTCGCTGAGAAACGATGGTTTAAACACAGATGGCTCGTACAGGTAGTTAGCCGCGAGACGAATTATTACATGGCCTGTAGTTTTTCATTGCATTTTCTCCCCCCCCCCCCTCTCTCTCTCTCTCTCTCTCTCTCTCTCTCTCTCTCTGTTTGTCCTTGTCCCCTGTCTCCTCTATTTTGTAACGTGCTCGAATATACATTTATGTCATTTTGAGCGCGGAAAGTTTTTTAACGTAATGCAACTAGAAGAAGAAGATTTATGTGGCGAAAAGTACGAGAGTACTAAGGAGTTCTTGATTTTCCACTTGAGTCTCACCTTTAATGCGTGAAATCAGCCCTAATTAGCATTATTCGCCCGCGATCTTGCAAATAGACGCATGTCTCTCCGACGAGCAAAACCGTGTAGGTACTACACAAACTGTCTTGAAAAACCGCTCCGCGGATGTCCTTGTAAAAGGTTGTTAGTCTCTTTGATTAATTTGGATGAAATAGATACGCGATGCTGTGACGTGAATGACATTGCCAGTAGCGCCTCTCGATCGACGTCTCTCCCTGAAGAAAAGAATGCCTGTCTTTTCCGTTTCACACGAGGTTTCCCTCGAGGTAGCCATACCTCTACCAACGTCCTTGGAGTGTTCCTATCGACGAATCTTGAGAATATTAGTCTACGCTGTACGACTCTGGCGATTCGCGTATCAGCACGCGATTTGCAGCGATATCGTCGTACGCAATCGCGTTGTCCTTCGTCGTAACTGGTCCGAACTGTCGTTCGAACATTGAACGTTGCAAATCCGAGGAGAGAGGAAGAGAGAGAGAGAGAGAGAGAGAGAGAGAGAGAGAGAGAGAGAGAGAGAGAGAGAGAGAGAGAGAGAGAGAGAGAGCAAGGAGAGATTGGAGAGACGAGGAGAGACGGACGGACGAAGGAGGGAGAATAAAGAAACTCAGTTGATTTAAAGACGCTCTTGGTGGAGGCGAAATTATTCTACGCACGATTTTGTACGATCACGATACTTGCATTCGCGTTTTGTATTAATAAAGTTATCTTGGTTACGTGTCGCGACGGTCGGCGAGACAACGTCTGCCCGCGACAAAATCGCATAGGTAGGTAGGTAGAGATGGCGATAAAATAATCGCACCTGGGAAACGTCGTCGAGACACAATACCGAGCTTCGCAGGGTGGTTAGTAGGTACGTTTCGCAGTCGAAGGTCTTCGACGATCGATCGCACAAATTAGCATCGCCTCGGGGAATCTACCGGGTCTGTCACTCCCGGCAAGCGTAATTTTGTCTTATTAGACGGAAATTTTTTCTCCTAGATTCCTGTTCCTGTTCCGAGAGAGAACCTCTTCTTATCTTGTGCGCTTTATCCCGTTGAATATTTGTTATCCCGTTGAATAGTGTCAATCTTGGACATTCTCTCGGTCTTTGTCACTTTTTATAAATAGACGTATCCGTCTCCGAATCGCGCGCGCTGCATCCTCCTCCTTCGAAGGTGCTATTTTACGTTGAAACGTTGAAACGTTGAAAGAGATATATCGCGTATATTTTCTGCCCCGATATCAAGTGTCAGTCAGAGTTTTTTTTTTCCAATCGCGAGGATAATATCTAAAGTTCGATCGTAACGCGTGCGGGAGAAGATTCGGTGAGCTCTTGTTCATTATCGTCTTCGGACGTATCGGTCATGTCGGTGACGCTATTACGAATGACATCATTCACTTGTTGTACGATGCCATTCAGATGCCGTAAGTATAGGTTTCTCGGCGCGCGTTTCACTAACTTTGCGAACGACGGCGAAGCGAAAGGCTTCTCTCTCGTCGGGAATTGGGCCTTTCTCGAGGAGCACGACGCACGACTGGCGATCGCATGATCAGAATGTCGTAACGATACTCGGACTTTTTGACCATAACCGATTTCGCCCACGCTTCGATTGGCGTGACTTTCAATTACATGCCGTTTTATCTTAACGTGTTGTAGCGCTGTTCGAGCTGAACTCAAATTTCTAAGTCACAGGATATTGATGATTTATCTCCTTGTGTGTATCTTTGCTATATAACTTATGGTCTATTATATTCTCTCTTCACGTCGATAATTTTTCGTCATTTGCCATTTTAATTCAATCAATACCAGAAAGAGACGTGTGATATACGGGCATAATTTTTAATTAATTTATTGTCGCTCAATGGAAAGAAAGACGCATACACACACACACACACACAGAGAGAGAGAGAGAGAGAGAGAGAGAGAGAGAGAGAGAGAGAGAGAGAGAGAGAGAGAAGGGGAAAGTTATATCGAGAGGCTCTTACAAATGTTTCTACAAATCATTCATATTCTTTCTTGTTTTCTTTCTTGTCTCGCATTGCACAAAGAACATAGTAAGCTGGATTATAAAAGAAGCACATAGTGATTTGCGAATAAAATAATCATATATAAATTAAAATAACGAAACACGAAAATGTGTGTGTGTGTGTGTGTGTGTGTGTATATACATACGATGCATCGAGATATCGGCGTGTTATACGTTCTAGCCACATGTACAATAACCTTCTTTACATTTAAATAACTCGTTTACTTATTTATAAGACCTCTCTAATGGTATTATTGTTTGGAGAAAACTGCTCATTGTATTCGTTCGTTGTCACTTTCCTTATTACCATTGTATAAAAGAGACAGCCAGTCGCGCATGCAAGTTTGAGGCGCGCGAAATACCGTATACACATATACAGTGGCCGGATTGTGTTTCGTCTTCGCACCAAAGGCAATGAATTAGCGTACCCACGACGGCGGAAGCCACGAGGAAACGAATCAAGTAGCCTCGAGTGCGATGACTTCATATCCGCTTTGTGATCTCCGCAAGTGCAGCTAGCATTGCCTCGGCGTCGCAAGCCGAGTGTGTAGTGTAATTACAATATTCGCACCGCAATTTAAGAGCTTACTTCCGACACATCTTGAAGCCATATTTGAAAACCTTCGGATAGTACATTTTTAATATACTCGGCAAAATGTGCATCTTTGCTGGCTTTTTGCAGTTCTTTTTTTTTTCTTGTTCAAGTGTTCAAAGACCCAATATGAAAGATGTATTAGTAGTACGCTTTTTTACAGCAGTTCCACTGCATTTTATTACTACTCGCAATTTATGTCATTATATTTTGGATCGATAGACGCGCAAAGCATACTTTGCAGGAATAGAAGGAAAAGAATAACACAAGCCACACCAGCGTGGTGAACCACGCTTTTCTTTCATGTTGTCTTTCATGATATCCGATATCCGGGATGACATTTTTATGATATTCCACTGAAGAAAAAACGGCACGATGACATTACGCCTTCGTCGTCGTTTATCCTGAAAGCATCAAGATCGTTGACTGGGATTGGATTATTTGGCTAAAATTTCTTGTGACGTGACGTAACGTTCCGTTACGTTACGTTATGTTATGTTACGTTAAAAAGTATCATTAATGCGGATTACACGTGATCACAAATGAAACGAGGAAGTCTCTTCACGGTCGACGATTACGGCATCGATTCTCTATCGCCCTATTATTTCGATCGCCCTCGAGCCACATAAAAAAAGGATCGCCGTTGATGTAATTAACTCATAGGCCGCGAGCCGCCAACGACATTACCAGGTTTGGTCCGCGAGAATTGGAAGCGTATCGATGCTCGTTACCGTGTCGATTTACGATCGATGATCGGTTGTTTGGTCGGTCGGTCGTGTGACGTATATTAATACGCAAACAACTTATTAGCATGATGACCCCGCCCACGTCACATTTCTGAACATTCGCGATCGGAGTCGGATTCGGAATGTGCCGTACCGGATTCGAACCGAGTCCCACGTTATTCCTCCTACGTGGTGTGGTTGTTTGTCTATTGGGAGCTCAACTTCATCTATTTCATTAATGCACGTATTAATGGACGTAAATTACACATCTCTGCATCTCGTATTCGAATAGATTGCAAGTTTTCGCATGTTGTATGCTTGATATTTGTGCAGTAATCGTTGAAGAGTCGCCAAGAGTCTTCATTTGCTCCAACCTCCAACGGACATTCTCACTCATCTATCTTTGTTGCATTCTCGTTGTCTTCCTCGTTATTATCATCGTTATTATCATAGCTGTAATCAACGCGGCGCTTATCACACGATCACCGAATCTTGTGTGCCGCCTGTGTGATGTCACCGCGAGCTCCAGCGATCGCGATCTGCTTCCTTTTTAGGTTCGTCCGAGTAATCTCGGTCTTTATCAAGGTTGTACGCCCGATCGCGACTCGCGACCTTGATATCGGGATAAACCAGCGCGGCCGCTCACGCGTGAATTATGCACTGTACCGTACGAGGGGGGGGGGCTCTGACGTGCTGCGGAATGTCGTGGGACGCGCGCACGACGGAAAGATACAGATGGATATGTATGTGTATGGCATGGGAGCTCGTGTCGTCGCCACGGCGGAACGTAAAATCTCTAGAAAAGGAAAAGGAGGAAGAACGTGCACGCGCGCGCGCTTCACGATGGCGTCCGGAGAAGGAGGAGGAAAATTTGCTTCTCGGGATAATATCTCGCTGATCGCTCAGGACGGGAGGACCCCACCGCACGAGAGAGAGAGAGAGAGGGGGGGGAGAGAGAGAGAGAGAGAGAGAGAGAGAGAGAGAGAGAAATCGATCAATCGAGGACGCTTGTGCGCGATTCAGAGGAGAGATCTGTTTGAGTCGCGTTCGACTCTCTCATTATACGCATTAATAACGCGTACATTCCGCCATCCTTATCTTGACCGTATCATTTTGTACATGGAAGTACGAATACCGTGACAGTGAAACCCTGTGAGGCATATGCTCTACCTTGTAAAAAGATTCTCGTAGGCACGAAAAT